TTGACCCAAGTTTTAAACAAAGAGTAGAAGCTAGGATGAACAGCTTCCAAACAGAATAACGATGGAATAATAGCACAGTCTGTTGGAGAGTAGCCATACAGCTTTCCCCGGTCACAATCTCGTTAGTGTTAATTGGGCCGAGTCTATCACCTGGACAGAAGGGCTTGGGCACAGCCATCTCTTGGACATATGGCCAGCTGCATGATTCAGAGAGCTGCCAAATAGTGGGATTAACTTCACAGTGGTACGGGTAATCATAGAGGATTTTCACATAATAACTGTAGCTAAGGAATTGCAGCAGAGGGACATATGTAAATAATATTGCACTATATAATGCCCCATAGTGGGTTTATTAAGGTTACGTTTACACTACACTATTGATAAGATGTTGAATAAGCAATGTAGGGCATTACCTACAAAGTGAGACTCTGTTAAGAACTGTTTTGCACAAAAAAGTCAAATCTGCAGGAAAATGCTGACATGATTACTTAAAAGGAGAAAATACAAATTCTAACATAGACAGCTGCACCTTATAGGGAGTGGAGGTTAAAGCAATAGTTTGACATGTTGGTGTCTCCGCTGGTTGCCTGGCTCTCTCTCAATATTCAAGGAAGTCACCGTGCTTGGCTAAGAAATATTCCAGCAGATAACCGCCACGACGTGTCCTTTTTACTTGGCTAGCTGTGTACTCCTTTTTCCAGTCCTAATGTTTAGTTAATATATCTTATTGCTGACTGTTAGAGTAATTAAGTGAAAATTAATTTGAATGTTTACTATCTTTTCCCTCAAGAAAGTAGACTTGTATATCCCAAAAAGTTAAACTATGGCTTTTAGTGAAAAAACGTTCATACCCTGTTAAGATATTTCAAAAATGTCACCCAATCAAACAACTGACAAAGTAGTTTAACCTAAATATGGCTCGTATATAGGTTACAAAGCTGCACTAATTAATATGTCCATGTTAACAGTGCAGCCAGTGACTATTATAAGTGTGAAAAGGTCACAACCCGAATTCTAAATGGATTAGCTTATGCACAAACAATACTAGCACATTAAACTGCCAAAAAGCCAGACATTTGGATAAACAAGAATAAACATTGAACACAGTGGTCTAAAAAAACAATAGTTAACATTGTTTAGACGTATGAATTAAGGCAAGTTTTGTGTATGCAGGGTCAAAGCAATTACCGAAAAAGTTTCTAAATAAATAGCAATAATGAAAGCACTGGAGTCTTCTTTGTCATGACGACGACGACATATTTGTTAATCCCTTACAGGGACATTTCTGTAAAATTCCTTTATTTTTCCTGGACTCTCATGGCCTTAGATTTGTGTTGGTATTAGCATGGAATAATCATTCATGGAGATGATTGGCCAAATGTAATCAGGCCTTAATGTGGTTGTTTTGGCTCTATAATTCATTTCCTGCCCATATGTTTGTTGTACAAGAACTATTTGTTATCCCCCAGAACAAAAAAATACATTTATTTTTCTTACGGATCTTAAGGACCAATTCACACTGTAGCTTCACATTGTATTTCTCACATAGGTTTCTGTATTTGCATAATACAGGTTTCATACAGTTCTTGCCTTCCACTACAGGGAACATTAATTTAGGTTTTCTTCTTATAAACTAATGCCAAATACATTACCACTAGAGTTTCATGGTTAAAGAAATTGTAATGGCCACCTTCAAAAGGAAGATCTTAATCTCTGTGAAATGCAGATGTAGTAGTTATGGTTGCTTTCATTGCTATGTTTAGTCAGGTTCATGAAAAAAGCATGAAGTGACACACACAGTGGGAGAGTTATCAAGAGGAGGTGGTTTATGTACAAACAGATGCCACACCATAGTGACTTAGTGGTTGTGTGTGTGTGCGCACGTGTGTGTCCAGCCTGTGGTTCTCTTTGTAGGCTCGACTGTCAATGATTGCTAGGTTGAAAAAACGAGGACCACACAAGATCAGACGGTGTGTGTGTGTGTGTGTGTGTGTGTGTGTGTGTGTGTGTGTGTGTGTGTGTGTGTGTGTGTGTGTGTGTGTGTGTGTGTGTGTGTGTGTGTGTGTGTGTGTAGTGTGTAGTGTAGTAGTGTAGTAGTAGTAGTAGTAGTGTAGTGTGTAGTAGTGTAGTGTAGTAGTAGTGTAGTAGTAGTGTAGTAGTAGTACGTAGTACGTAGTAGTG